GTTAAAACCATCTTCAATGATGTCGATTTTTCTTCGATGACTTATTCTGAGTTTGTGACCTTCTGCGAACGTTTCATGCATGAAGAGTGTAAAAAATTTTACTACTGTGAACCAGGAAATTCCCTGATCGAAGGGTTTAATCCCATTTCAGATGATGTGGAATATGCTGCTTTTATTTTTGATGCTTATGGAACAGATGGTGTAATTTCGGTTTATATGGATCATATTGGGGTTGGTGTTGATAGGTGGCTTGATGATGAAGACAATGATGATGATGAACATGAGTCTTGTATTGATGGTGAAAATAAAGATAACATAGATGAACTTAGGAATGTTGCCTTTGAATTTAATGAGGATGTAGTGCATATGAATAGGACATCAAATGATCCTTTCTTGAGTAAGTTATGTGTTGATGATGAGGAGGATAACAACATTGTAGATGATGATAATGGGAGGGAAGTTGAACTTAACATTCAAAGTCATTCCATATTTAATGAGCTGTTACACTGGAAAAAACAAAAACCAATTCTAGGGATGAGATTTAAGGGTCCAGGGCAAGTAAAATCAATGTTGTGCAACTATGTTGTAGCTAATGGATATCAATTGTGTTTTGAAAAAAAAAATGATAGGAAAAGACTTTGGTGAGGTGTAGCAAGGGTGCTTGCACATTTAGATTATGGGCTTCTTAGATGAGTGATGAAGAGAGTTTCCAAATCAAGTCACTAAAAGCTTATCATAATTGTGCTAGGAACGTCAAGTTTGGATCATTGGTGACATATGCATGGATTGGGAGTGACTATACCAAAGAGATTGTACAAAGTCAGAAAATAAGTGTAAGGAAGCTTAGGGTTAAGGTAATGGCCAAGTTTGGTATCCAAGTTAGTATGGGGCAATGTAGAAGAGCAAAGAAGTATGCACTGAATCTTGTTGAAGGTAGCCTTGTTGAACATTATGGTAAGCTATGGTCATATGGTCATGAGATTTTAAGGACAAATCCTGGGTCAACTGTGAAACTAGATGTGGAGGATCGTCCAGATGGAAAGAAATATTTTAGCAAGTTCTATTGTTGTTTTCAAGGAGTTAAACAAGGTTGGATTGAAGGTTGTAGAAGGATAATAGGTCTTGATGGATGTTTTCTTAAAGGTGTTTGTAAGGGGGATTGCTTTGTGCTATTGGGAGGTATGCAAATGACAAGATATATCTTATTGCTTGGGCAGTGGTTAATGTGGAGAACAAGCAGAATTGGAAGTGGTTTTTAGAGCTTCTCATTGAAGATCTGGACTTGAATTTAGGCAATGGTTTCAGTTTAATGTCAGACCAACATAAGGTTAGTATTTTACATAGTAATTCATTTATATTTATTTTATACTATCTGATTTAAACCTTTTGTATTAATATAGGGTTTGATAGAGGCTGTTAAAGAGTTGCTTCCATATGTAGAGCACAGGTAGTGTGCTAGACATATTTGTTGGAATTTGCAGAAGAGATTCACTGGTGCCATATATCATACCTTGTTTTGGAGAGCACCTAAAGCCACAAATGAGCATGCTTTTAAAGTTGTGATGAAGGAAATTGAGACATTGAACCCACATGCCCATCAATATCTCATGGAGAAAGATCCTAAAACATGGTCAAGAGCTTTCTTTCAAGCTGGAAGGTGTTGTGATGCAGTTGAAAATGGCTTCTCAAAAAGTTTTAATGTTGTAATAGTAGATGTCAGGAAGAAACCCATAATAACCATGTTAGAGGAGTTAAGATTATACATGATGGACAGAATCTACAACATGAAATTAAAGGGACAACAATGGGGAAATCATATTTGTCCAGAGATAAGGGATAAGGTGAATTTGCTTAAAAAAATTCAAAGGCATTATTAGGTACTACTGTCACACCCCCAAACCGAAACGACGGAAACATTCGGGGGCGGAGGACGTCATGTATAGTATCACAACAATTGAATAATAGTAATCAAAGCAACAACAACCATTGTATTAATAGTATAGTGTTTACATTACATTTGAATCATACATGATTGACTACAAAAGTAAATACAAGTAAAGACTCGAAACTACAATACTCAGTCTTCTTGAACCCGGTGCGTGTACCTGTCTACTAATGTCCTGAGAATACAAGTAGGTTTTGAAAGAGTATCAGCATAAAGCTGGTGAGTTCATAAGCATTTTGTTTTGGAAAAACTGTTCTTTGTTCCTTTGAAAAGTGCGTTATCTTTCTCCAGAAAACCTTATATTTTCTGATGTAATGAATGTATAAACCTTAAGTAAAAATGATTCTTACCAGTTCCTCCTGCGAGTACTTAGTGTATACAAATCATATACAATCCAGATCGAACAAACAATCGATTGTGTGGTTCTGCCCCAAGCCCACAACCAAATTAGGAACAGGAAGTGAGACGGAGGCCACACATTCCACTGGTTGTCGGATCCTTATGTACATAATCCTGAAGTATTCACTAGATACTTACAAAGTTAACTGTATTGGTCCTTTGATATCTGTTGAAAGTGTTCCTCAAGAAAATCCATTATTTTCTTATTGAATGCATGATTAACCAATTCTTTTTATAACTACTTAGCTCATACTAGCTATGTATAAACCAATATCGAACAGACGATTGATTGTATGGATCTACCCTAAGCCCACAACCAAACAAGGAACAAGAAATGAGGCGGAAACCACACATTCCATGGTTTGTCGGATATTCTTCACACATAGCCTGGATGCATAAACTAAGGAATTACATAATTATTAGTGAATGTTCATTAGTGAAATGAATAACCGCTTGTTTTGTAGAGTACTAATGTTTACCCTGGAAAATCCTATATTTTCCCTAAGTGTAAGTTATTGAATTATCTGTTCCAAACCAAATAGTATAAGCATCTACCATACTTATGTTGTTAAGCATTGTTCTGTTTGAAAACCAATATGAATACCTTGGTATGAATACCCTTGTATGAAAACCTTTATATGAATACCGTAGTGTGAATACCCTTGTATGAAAACCTTTTGAAAACCTTTGTATGAATACCGTAGTGTGAATACCCTTGTATGAATAACTTAGTGTGAATACCCTCCTGTGATCACTTAGTACATACGAATTATATAAATCTGGATCGAACAGACAGTCGATTGGGTGATTCCGCCCTAAGCCCACAACCAAACAAGGAACAGGAAATGAGGCGGAGATCACACATCCCACTGCAAGTTGGATGTTAATTCCATATTACCCTAGTGTATATACTAAGTTATCACATTGTTACTAACCCTAGTGACTGTTTGTTAGGTGTATTATTACGTGAACGAGTCGTTGTTTCACCTGTGGATTCTTATAACCATATTATAGACGATCAACATTACGACGTACTCGGACGTCGTGAAAAATGACGTTTGTCACCCTAGGTTGACTGTAGCTAATAGTCAGGGTATGGGATTGTCACTCCCGTATAGATCTATACACAAACTCACGCTCTCCCTCCAGGAGACTCTGGTTACAAGGCGTCTCACACTGTTGGCTCTCTCAACGAATCCACGAATAATACTATGAAAACCCTTTTTGTTATGAATCCTTATAAAATAATATCTTTTATTTCATAATTCATAAGTTTGTTTCCTCTGTTCTGAAAACTGTGTTTGTAATGTTTGTATTTTAACATGTTTTGTAAAACTGATTTCAAGTCTAGTAGTGACGATGTTTACCATGTATGCAAGTTCTATGTTCAATGTATACTAGTAAAATATAATAAATCAAATTATATTTTTAAACACAAGGTTACTTGTGCTTTTACTTGTATCCTCCCCCTGAAAACATTGAAAACTTTGGAAAAATACAGGGGTATGAATTCACCGTTAATTGTGTGCAAGCGTCGAATCAATGAACTAGAAACGAAGACCCTCGAGTTGTTGTACGTGACACTTAACGGAATCCTAATAACTATTAAATACATATATGTATCTAAATTAGCGATTTCGTTAGATAAAGTGTTGGAAAAACACTTGCTTTCGGTTAAGGAATGTTACCGGGACTTGATTGAATCGAGGAAAGCGGGTTTTCAGTCTAATGTACCACTCAGGGAGTGTGTTTGGCTGTGAAAGGGAGTGTACGGCTGTGAACCGTGTACGACCGTAGACTGCCTGTTGAAGGGGTGTACGGCCTTTGAAGGTGTACTGCCGTGAATGAGTGTACGGTCAACGAACTTGAAGGTATACGGCCGTACACTCAAGAACAAGAGTGCTGGAATCGATGAAAAACATGTCCTAGATGCTCCGAAATGAACCCCCAATGGTGTTTTTCGATGTTTTACGAAAGAATAAAGGTGCTTTAGGGGTGTACGGTCGAGAGTCTATAGAGAGAAGTAGAGGGTGTTCGGCCAGAAAAGTGTAAATGAGAGGTAGGGTCTCGTATTTATAGGGGTTTTTGTGGTTGGTGGTGGGGTCCACCCGACGTTGGCCGTAAACGAGTGTACGGTCGTACACGGGTGTACGACCGTGAACCCAAGTCCAGCCGAGAATGGTTGTTTTGATCGACGGAAAACTCGAAATTTCACGTAGTTTTGGTCCCGACTCATATATGAAGCTCAATTTTATAACAAAATGACTTTCCAAGCCAAAGGAATTCGACGGGACTCAATAAAAATCCTAATTTTTATTAACGGAATTTGGATAACGGATATGGAAAAAGGTTCGGGTTCTCACAACTACCTAGTGGATTAAACCAGTTTGAGGTAAGGGGAGCAACATATGCATATGAGGTGGACTTGGAAAGGAAAACATGTTCATGTAGGCTGTGGCAATTGAATGGATATGGATGTGCTCATTCTGTAGCTAGCATATCCTTTCTTAATAGGGATGTAGAAGCCTATGTAGACAACATGTTTAGCACAACCACATTTAGGAAGGCATACAATTACAGGATTGCCCCCATTAATAGCAGTCACATGTGGCTAGAGACAAATTATACTCCACCATTGCCTCCTATTAGTAGAAGGATGCCTGGTAGGCCAGCTACTAAGAGGAAGAAATCCACTACAGAGAATACAGGAACACACAGGGTTTCTAAGGCTGGGAAGAAAGTCGGATGTAGTATTTTCAAGGAGATAGGTCATAACAAGGCCACTTGTCCACAGAGAACGCCCCAAAAGTTAAATGTGAAGAAACAGAAGAAACAAAAAGTTTGTGTGAACCAAAATGCAGGACAGGTAAAACCATTTAAAATTTAAATTTATTTACATATGATTTGTCACTAACATAATTATATCATGCCATATAGGGTAGTACAAGAGAACCACAACAACATGAAGAGGTTGAAATGACTCCAGTTGAGATGGATACAACTCAAAATGATATGCAAGTTACTCCTACTGATGTTGAATCCAGTAGTGCATGGGATTTTAGTCATTCTATGTAATTTACTCCACCTAGAAGTTATGAAGGTGATGAGGGTGAGGAAGTTGTTGTGGATGAGGAGGGTGTTGTGGGTGAGGAAGTTGTTGTGGGTGAGGAAGCTGAGGAGGGTGGTAATGTTCAAGAGGTTAATCCTAATGTCGAAGTTGTTGATAATGTACAAATTCAAGAGGTTGTTCCTGTTATCCATGTTCAGCAGGTAAGGGTTAGGTTAATTTAAGATATTTTGAAGAGGATAAGGAGAAGAAAGTCAGAGAGAATATTGAAGCTGAAATTAGGCAAAACAATTGTTGGTGTTGATGATCTAGGAAATTCTAAGGGAAAAGCTCTTGTAATTGATTAGTGTTGAATTGGATTTAAAGTTTATGTATTAGGATGATGGTAATTTGGATTTAAAGTTTATGTATTAGGATGATGGTAATTCGCTTTTATGTATGGATGGTGCCTTTTTAAGTTCACTATTGACATAAAAGGGTATTTTGGTCATTTATGTATGGATGGTGCCTTGTTAAGTTCACTTTTGACAGAAAAGGTTATTTTGGTCATTTATGTATGGATGGTGCCTTTTTAAGTTCACTATTGATATAAAAGGGTACTTTGGTCATTTATGTATGGATGGTGCCTTGTTAAGTTCACTTTTGACAGAAAAGGGTATTTTGGAAGGGTATTTTGGTCATTTATGTATGGATTGTGCCTTTTTAAGTTCACTATTGACAGAAAAGGGTATTTTCATCATTTATGTATGGATGGTGCCTTTTGAAAGTATGTTGCCTTTTTAAGTAAATTCATGACATATGGGTTTTAATATTTCTGTATGGAAAAATTTGGAATAATGTGCATGCATGTGAATGTTTTATATGGTCCCGGATATGGTTCTATAATGGGTTCAAAGCTCCCATTTTTCTATTTTAAAACACCCACTGACTACTAACTACAAATGGTCCCCATACATATAGTGTACTTCCACATGGACCACTTTCTAATTTCTTCCCAAAATGAAAACATGCACAACAACCAATTTAATTAAATATAATTGTTGGGAATACAGGCCATGCATATGTTTCAATAACATCAACATCTGATTATACAAAATGCCCTACATTTGGGACTTTGAATATTTTTTTTACATTGGTTATCATATGCCCTTTCATTAGGGACTTACCACCTTACAACATCAACACATCAAGGTTGATAGCCCCAACTTGTAACTAAAAGCAGCTTCAAAACATACAAAATAACCATCATTACTGACCTTCTAGTCCGCCTTTACAAAAAATACATGGGATCCCAAAAAACAAAAGCTTACACCAATCAACCCTAACTAAGTACAATCACCCCCTAACTTCAAAACACAAATGACCAAGCAAGCAAACAACAAGGCAACTATCATCATGTACCTGCCTATTGCCTTCCTTGCATCATAAACTTCTTTCTCACTCCTTGCCACCTTATACTGCTCCTGTAACAGCAGAAACTCCACTTCAACAATCCTTCTCCTCAAATTGTTCATCTCATACAAATCCTCTTTAGCATCCAGTTTCTGCTTCAGAGAATTTAGAAGGTTTTTGTAGTACCCTTCTGCCTGTTCTTCATCTTTCCATTCAAAGAAGCTACATTTCTTCAACCTAGTCTATACAAAGCAAATAAAATTAGGGTTTGATTCACAATCACAAATCAGCTACCTTTAATGTACTAACGAAATGGGTTTGATTCACAATCACAAATCATCGTCAAGAAGCAAATAAAATTAGGGTTTATTTTAAAAGCAAACAAAATACAAATCCACCATGATCGTCTTTACAGGAAGAAACAACACAGCAAATCCTAAAATAGTAACTTATCAAGATTAGGAGTATCGGGACCTACCATACTGTTTTGACAATTCCAGAAACGCCTCGCAGGGTTTGTTATCTTCCAACACGTTCGTTCTTTAGCTGGAACGACACAATCACAAACCTTTACCCCTTCTCGCGACTGAACATGAGTCACTTGTAGCTGATTCCTTGAGGTGGATGAGCTCGAAGACATTGTTCTTCAGGACGGAAATAATCGGGGGGAAGTCTTTGACTTTTCAGAGAAGGGTAAGTAACACTTTAATGGAGGTCCGATTTAGGGTTTCGATTAATAAGCCTAGCTCGACAAGTGGACTTCTTCGACACATAAGCATCCCACGTAAGTTTATTGGACACATCAGCGTACCACATAAACATTGTAACCGGTAAACCTTCTAATTTTTTAGATAGTGGTGTAATTAATAGGTCAATTACGAGTTTAGTGGTCTAATGTACCAAAAAAAACTTTAAGGACCAAATTAGCCAAACGTAAAAAGTTTCATGTGCTACAGTGACATTATCCCCCGATCATAAGGGTAAAATGTGAACAATTTCAAATAATTTAAGGGTAAATCAAGCACAAAAAAATTTCAGTGACTAAATGTGACCAAAGTTCATTACCCTCTCAAGTCAAGTTCTATGTAAAAGACGCCCAAAAACTTTTACCAAATTCTCACATAACTTAAAATGAGATAAAATATTTTTTTTGTACAAACCATCAATAATTTTATAAAACTTAAAAATAACCAACACATGTATAAACTTGAAAACGAATGTTTCAAAAGTTAAATTTTTTTTAGAAAAACCCATAAATAGAAGGATTTGATTTTCTTCTATTTCGGAGCGACTATTATTCTCGCGACTTTTTCATCACGGGAGGTTATAAATTCCTCAACCACCTACAAATACATGGCGTTCACTCACTCACATTTCACACTTCTCCTCCTTATATTTCTCTCTTTCTGCATCATAATCTCAACGAAGAAGCGAATATGGCCACCATCAAGGAAGTAAAAGCACGACAAATCTTCGACAGCAGAGGCAACCCTACCGTCGAGGTTTGTTTCCCTTCGTAGATCCATTTGGGTTCTTAATCGGGTATTTCACCATTGTTCTTATGAATTAACATCGTTTCGAAATGTCCAATCGCTGATCTCTATTCCAATTATGATTACGGTTTAAGTTAACGTTAGGTTTTTGTTTGAAACGGTTACTTATCGTCGTTTTATGATTAGTTTTGCTATGAATGAGATTAACTAAAGCGATAACTGAGTAATCGTGGTTTGGTTCCTTTTAGATCAATGTTATTGATATAGCATATGGATCAATGCTCTGATTCTACAATATTAGTTTTGCTATGAATCGGAGCTTTACATTTTATACTTTGAGTAGATATTTAAATCTATATCAAAATCTGACGTCAATTGTATATGTCTAATTGTGAAAAAGAAGCATAAGTATATTAATCTACAGATGACGTTCATATTAAATCATAATCTAGAAACGGTGTTTCATATCTTGATTGATCCCTAATTAGTTACTTTTCCTGAAATTCGGATGTTAATATTTCTGTGATATAGGTGGATATTGCACTATCAAATGGTACATGGCACCGAGCTGCTGTTCCCAGTGGGGCATCCACTGGTAAGATCTACAAACTTTTTCTCAGAATGTTTTCCCTGAATCGATCTATGCATATCTCTTTACTTTTATCATACTTGGTTCAAAGCTGTTTAATATAAGCCTTTTGATTTGGTATATCAATGGTGTAGACAGTAGACAAGCATGCATTTAATCTTGCAAGCAGGTATATGTAATAATAACAAATGCACATGAATTTTGTCATGTAGGCATCTATGAAGCACTTGAACTAAGAGATGGAGGCTCAGACTACCTTGGAAAAGGTGTTTCCAAGGTAAGATAATACTCTGGAATCTGGATTGACTCTTTTTGTTTATTTTTTTGACACCCTTTCATCTCTATATAAACTAACTTTTACATTCTATGAGTAGGCTGTTTCCAATGTGAACACCATTATCGGCCCTGCTATTGTAGGCAAGGTTTGTTTCATCAATTCACTCTTTCCCCTCAATATCAATTTAAATATCATCATTTTAAGTAGTAGCATACATGATCTAAACATATATGTTCAAATTACAGGATCCAACTGATCAAACTGGTATTGACAACTACATGGTTCAAGAACTTGATGGAACTAAAAACGAGTGGGGTTGGTGCAAGCAAAAGGTAATATACTCTCAACTTTCAAATCTTAAATTTATTTATTTCTTTTCTTATTTATAAATGATCTGCTGTCTTGTTCACAGCTTGGAGCAAATGCCATTCTAGCAGTGTCTCTTGCACTCTGCAAAGCAGGTGCTAGTGTCAAAAACATTCCCCTTTACAAGGTAACAAACATTACATTTCCCAAATAAAAAACAATTAACAAATCCAATCTTCTTTCTCATCGAATATCTGACTAAAAAACTTCTCACAGCATATTGCAAACTTGGCTGGAAACAAGAAACTAGTTTTACCAGTACCTGCATTCAATGTCATCAATGGTGGATCACATGCTGGAAACAAGCTTGCTATGCAGGAATTCATGATTCTTCCAACTGGTGCTTCAAGTTTTAAGGAAGCCATGAAAATGGGTGTTGAAGTATACCATAACTTAAAGGTACATTTTTTTAAAACATGTTTCTCTATAAACATGTGAATTACACACTAATCTTTACTTGTGTTGACACTTGACATCACAGTCTGTTATCAAGAAGAAATATGGTCAAGATGCAACAAATGTTGGTGATGAAGGTGGATTTGCCCCTAATATTCAAGAAAACAAGGAAGGACTCGAGTTGCTCAAAACAGCCATTGGTCAAGCTGGTTACACTGGAAAAGTTGTGATTGGAATGGATGTTGCTGCTTCTGAATTCTATGGAAAAGACAAAACTTATGATCTCAACTTCAAAGAAGAGGTGTCTTTTTTTTTTATTTAATCATTCAACACCAGAAATACATTTTGTTTGATTGGTTTACTGAATTGGTGTGTGTGTGTGTGTGTGTATGAAGAACAACAACGGGTCACAAAAGATTTCAGGAGTACAACTGAAGGATCTTTACAAATCGTTTGTGAGTGAATACCCAATTGTCTCCATTGAAGATCCATTTGATCAAGATGATTGGGAGACATATGCCAAGATGACTGCTGAATGTGGTGACAAAGTACAGATTGTTGGAGATGATCTTTTGGTCACTAACCCAACTGTAAGTTTTCCATAATTCAATTACAAATTTCGTCAGTTGAAGGGCAAAATCGTCATTTTGAAAAAGTTAACATCTGAGTAGTTAGATTTAACGATGAACAGACCATATTTGCAACAGACGGAAAGATTAGTATAGCACAAGGACCAAATATATATGTTAGTCTATGCAAAATTCCTAATTTAACCTTTTTGTTGGGCATTGTGTTTACAGAGAGTTAAGAAGGCAATCAGTGAAAAGACATGCAATGCCCTTCTCCTGAAAGTGAACCAAATTGGATCAGTGACTGAGAGTATTGAAGCTGTGAAAATGTCAAAGCAGGCTGGTTGGGGTGTCATGGCCAGTCATCGCAGTGGGGAAACGGAAGATACCTTTATTGCTGACCTGTCGGTCGGTTTGTCAACGGTAATTTTTCTTCATTTAATTTAAATAAATAAATATTCCCATAAATTAAATACTAATGATACAATACAATACAATCTGCAGGGGCAAATCAAGACTGGAGCACCTTGCAGATCAGAGCGTCTCGCCAAGTACAATCAGGTAGTTTTTGTATATATTTATATAATGTGCAAGTAAATTACCTTATTACCCTTCTAAAACTGAATGAATATACTACGTACTATAGCTGCTGAGAATTGAAGAGGAGCTGGGGTCAGAGGCGGTTTATGCTGGAGCAAACTTCAGGAAGCCTGTTGAGCCGTATTAGATTGCGGTTGAATTTGAATGAAGGCCCATCATCTAAATAAAAGAAAAGGAGGAGAAGAAGAAGATGGGCAAAATGGTCATTTCTCTCTCTCTCTCTCTCTCTCTCTCTGATAATAATGGGCAATGGTTTTTGGTTATAGGAGGCAAGAGTTATTAGTTTGTACTTCGGAATGGATTTTGTTTTGTGATTTGTGGTAGTTGATGTTTTTGGCCTCCGTTTTTGTAATGTTGCTTTACCATTTTCGGAATGGGTTAGAAAATGGAATCACATGCTTTTTCTTTTTTATGTTTTACATCATTTCTCTTTCTGCATTGGAAATAAGCTCTACCATTTTCCATTTCTTTCAAGATCCTCTCTAAAATAATTTCCTTGTTACTATACCTTAAAAATACATATACAAAAGGAGCTAAAATAATGACAAATGATATACTGCCAAGTAGGGGGTCTGAGCTACTCGGGATCGACTCGTTAAAAACTCGACTCGAGATCAAATTAAACAAGCCCTAGCCGAACTCGATCCTAAATATGAGGCTCGTTTATTAAACGAGCTCGAGCCGAGCTTCAATCAGTGAGCTTGTGAGCCTAAACAAGCCTCTATATATATATATATATATATATATATATATATATATATATATATATAGAGAGAGAGAGAGAGAGAGAGAGAGAGAGAGATTATTATTATTTTTATATATTAAAATAAAAAAATGTTTGAGGAATTAGGTATGTAGGGTATTAGTAAACGAGCTTGAACCAAGCCTAAACTTATTTGGGCTCATCATACAAAAAACGAGTCGATCTCAAGCCCGAGTCGAGCCTTTATAATTCTTCACGAGCTTGGTGCAATAAAGCTCGAATCGAGTTGAGCTCGAGCTCGAGCCCCTCATAACTTAAACCAGCCCGAGCCAAGCCTCGCCAAGCTCAGGCTCGACTCGGCTCACCCCCACTGCCCAGTGCCCAATTTGTATTACTTATAGAGCACCCACAACTAGGCTTTCAAAGCTCTTTCAAAACCCACATAGACTCCATTTGCAAGACCACTATAACATATCCTCTTTTAACATGTGAAAGACTTGCAAAGGCTCATTTGGTCCCAATTGTTTTAACATCATTTATAAAAGTTAATTTAACTCTACTATTAATTATATGCTAGGTTGTTCGTTGCGTAAATTGAAATTATATAGTTAAAATTTGACAAGTAATACTGAAAATAATTATGTTATTGATATTAATTATGTAATTAAATTATTACATTAATTTGTTATATAAAATTGTAATGATTTTGAACCATATACTAACACCTATTAAAATCATATCATTTAATGTCCGTTAGATTAAGGTTTTACATTTAAACATTTTAAACTATTTTACAAAATAGTTTTTCAATATTTTTAAGTTTATTTGGTATTTTAATTTATACTTTGGATTTAAAATGATATTTAAATGTTATTTTGATTTTGGATTTTGGATTTAACGTGAAATTTAAATTAACATTTTAATATATTATATTGATAATTCAAAAAATCTACCATTAATATGATAATATTTCACATTTAATGACATATTTAAATTCATAGTATGAACGCAAATGTTCATATATATTTTTTGTGTATTTAAAAATCTATCATTATTCTTACTGTGGAATATATGGACAATTTCACATTTTGATGCACTACAAAACTCTTCATATTTTGGTTATATAATTTTTGTATTACTTACATTGGTTTTGTAAAAAATAGGGTTACTATTTCACAGTACTTAATAACATGCTAAACTTGTTATATAGGGGTACAAGGTGGTCCATCCATGATAAATTTATATGTTTCAAAAAGTTTTTCGTGTTATATGGGCCTAAAAATCTTATGTTGTTAGATTGCATATTGTTAGAATGTGTGTTGCAATCCAACCAATAAGAAGATGGATAGGAGAGCGCCTCATGAGTCGATCTACATTTTGTTGTAATGGTTAAGAGGTCCAAAAAGTCATTCCAGCCAACAAACAACTTTTAAGCAGTAATGAATTTCAAGTTGTTTGTACTTACTAGCACCTGAATTACTATCCAACCAAGATAAAGATGACATGATGCTAGAAGAACATGAAAAGCATGTAACAATTCGGTCATTCTTGTTATAGTTAGGAATGATTGAATATGGTGAGTTGTAGGCCAACACAATCATCCTAACCATTGTTTGTTTTATATTCGAATGAAATGCTTGTTTAGATTACTTATTCATTAGATGATCAGTTAAACATCCTAAACCATTTAGTCAATCGTATATGAATGATTATGCCAAAATGTTGGTTCAAATTTCCTTTGCAATAGAGAGAAGACCCGAAAGAATCAATAGAATAATAAGGATACAAGATTCCAAAAATCTAGGAAAGGTATCTATATTGTATAAATTTGGAGAATATTTGGGGCCAAAGCTCAAATTTTATTTTTAGACCTAATTATATATATATATATATATATATATATATATATATATATATATATATATATATATATATATATATATATATTAAATTCAAAGGAGCTTAGGAATAGTATCTTTTTAGGCTTTAGGTTTTTGCCACAAAAGTTTACTGAATTTGACACTTTTAGTCCCTAAAGTCAAAAATTTTACATTTTTGCCTTTTAATAAAGTTTTTCTGCCTTAAGGTTTTTGCCACAAATCTTTAATGACTTTGACACTTTTAGTCCTTGCAGTCAAAGGTTTTACATTTTGGTGTTTTTGCCACAAATCTTTAATGAATTTGACACTTTTCGTCCTTGTAGTCAAAACTTTTACATTTTGACATAAAAAACACAGAAAACTTCCTTTAAAATTTTGCCACCATATTTTCCCAACTTTGACAACTTTAACATTATTGCCACAACATTTTTGGATTTTCTCCACCAATGTCCCTTCTTTTCGTTATACACTTTTGACATCTAATTTTAGGGGTTGTCGACTTTCTCCCCTATTTATGGTGATTTACAATTTCAGCACATATTTTTTAAAGTTTGCCGATTTTTTCTATATTACCCCAAAAGCGGCGTAGCCGCGGGTTCTTTACTAGTATGTATAAATTTTAGTAGGTATGGATTAGAGCAACATTGTGCACTCCATTTTATAGCAGCTCCAAATCCACCCACCAAGCTCTGGTCCTCAATCTTTAGTCTAGATACACTTTAGATCCCTCAACTTCAATCCCATCGCACCCATTAATCACTAACACACACTTAACCATTTTAAGTTGGTGCAACACAAATAATAAAAATAAATTTGTACATTCCATGGCTAAGATCGACTTTCTGTCCAAAAAGTAGATTTGCATTCATTGATTTTAAGGCATGTAAATGTTTAAGAAATGTGTTGAAAACTTATGTAATTATATGTAAATTCATTTGATGACTACAAGTTATTTTAATCAATCAAACATAGCATATGAACGGAATGAACGGAAGACAAAATTACCATTTCAATGGTAAAAAATTTAGGTTATAATATTGGGAAATTGAGTAATCTAAGTATCTAACAATGATGTAACATGTATTTGAAGAAAACAACCAACAAAAACAATTTTTTTTTTTTTTTTGGCAAAAATAACCATTTAGTTCATAATGGACATTTCGTACTAAAAAAATATTTTTTTCTAAGAAAGAAAGTACATTTCGAATTGTATTCTAAAATTTTTGACTGAAATTTCAAAGTTCAGAAAAAAAAAACTCTAGAATTTCAATAACAATTCCGAGATCCGATGAATTTTTTCGGAATTTCGAAAAAAAAATTTGTTTTTACTTGAATCTATCAAAAAGTTAAACAAAATAATAAATGTGAACTATATCGTATATATGATATTATGACTTAAAAGACATTTGATTTATAAAATTATGATATTAAACACTTCGAAATTGATATTCTCAACATAAGTAGAAATATCTATTTGAAAAAAAAATGGAAAAAAACAACAAACAACTCTGAAATTTAAAAATCAAATATGGAACGCAACGTTCGGGAGTAAGTTATCATTTCTCAAAAAACTAGAATTTTTTTGAAAAAAAAATCTAATTTTTAATGGTTAGTTTACTTAATATCCTATAATATTTATATGCTTTCGATAAATAAATATTTATAAATAGATATTAAACCAAAAAAATAACATGATACGATACAAATATTTTCAATAAATTCACCATAAAAATTGAAATCATTATAATTTACTTTAATTTTCAATATTTACTTTGTTAAAAGTTTTCTATATTTCAAAACAATAAAAATGATTTTCTCATGTTTTTTTATTAATGTAAATTTAACTTAAAAAAGCCTTTATTCTTTCAACTCGTCTCAATCCAATCCAAGGGATTTATATACAGAAAAGAGAACAAAATCTACTCTTTTTGGTCTCTCCCCGTAGATCCCAGAAACCCTAACCCTAGCCGCTCCAACTGTTAGAAACGATACGAAAGAATGGCGGAGCACTTGGCTTCCATATTTGGTACGGAAAAGGATCGAGTCAACTGTCCTTTCTACTTCAAGATCGGAGCCTGTCGCCATGGAGATCGATGCTCAAGGCTCCACACCAAACCCAGCATCAGCCCTACCCTATTGCTTTCCAATATGTACCAACGCCCCGATATGATCACTCCGGGTGTTGATCCTCAGGGTCAGCCCCTTGATCCTAGCAAAATCCAGGATCACTTCGAGGTTTTCATTCCCCTAATTAAATTCCTCTTATTACTTTGTCGTATATCTTAACGATCTGTCTCTAATTAAGCTTGAACTAGCTTTGTTTGCATATCAAGCTATTCTGATATGACGTCTGGTTTCATTTTTGCTTAGTATACGTATTTATAGAGATATCACATTCTTACCGACAATAAACACTTGTGAATACGTATTCCATCAGGTCAACCGGTATTGGTGCTTCATTTCATACCATAAGACTCGATCAAGATAGACATGATTGTCCAGGAGTAAAGCAGTTCTATCTCATAGAGATTAGTAATTGTTACTATTGTAGTCTTGTAGGAAAGATGACTTTTGTTTGTTTAAATCTCGAGTCTGATGATCCTCATCTAACCTTCAAATCCATGTCCAAACACAGGATTTTTATGAAGATCTGTTTGAAGAGCTTGGCAAATACGGAGAGATTGAAAGCCTAAACATTTGTGATAATTTGGCTGACCATATGGTATATTCGATTCCTCATTTTCAAATTCATTAGTTATTTGCTTATTAAATAAATGGTCACTAAGATGAAGTTTATTCCCTCTATATAGGTTGGAAATGTGTATGCACAGTTCAGGGAAGAAGAACATGCTGCAGCTGCTCTCCAGAATCTTAGTGGAAGGTTTTATGCAGGTCTAGACATTGATTTGAACTTTACTTTTTTATCAAACAATCTTTTCAAATCATCAAAAATGTTTTCCTTTAAACAAACTAATGATTCTTTTATATCTTCAGGTCGTCCCATTATCGTTGACTTTTCTCCAGTGACAGATTTCCGTGAAGCAACATGTAGACAATATGAAGAAAACGTATGCAATCGTGGTGGTTATTGCAACTTCATGCATCTAAAAAAGATCAACAAGTGAGAATCTTTTCATATCATTTTACATCTTCCACCACTTTTCATCTTCTTATTTCAATCTTTTTCTCCAGAGATTTGAGGAGGCAGTTGTTCGGGAGGCGTAGGAGGAGTCGAAGCAGAAGCCGTAGTCCTCCAAGACACCGGAATCATGATGACCGCCCACAAGGCGGCAGCGGTGGTGGTGGTGGTGGTGGTCGTGGGTATGGGAGAAGAGGTGGTGGTGGTTACTCTGATCACCGGAGCAATGACAGGGGGAGGCGGCCGAGGAGTAGGAGTCCGGGGAGGAGAGGGGGGAGGAGCAGAAGTCCGGGAGGGAAGAGAAACCGGAGTCCGGTTAGGGAAGGGAGTGCTGAAAGAAGGGCAAAGATTGAACAATGGAATAGAGAAAAAGAACAGGCGAAATCTGGAACTAATAATGCTTCAAATGTTAATGAAAATAATGAAGGTGGTAATACTAATGATGATGGTGGTTTACAAAATGGAGAAAATTACCGTGATGCCCCTCAGCAGAAGCAGCAAGATGATGGAAATTATGATTACTGATTGATCAATGCCGTATTGTCTGGTTTGTTTTCTGTTTCTTGATCTTTGTTTTATACAATTTGTTTTTTTTTTTTGAAAGATAAATGACAGTTTAAATTGATTTGGGAGAAATTAGAGGAGATAAATAAAAGTTTATAAAAAAAGTTTTTTTAAGAAAAAAAAAAGGAATCCCACTTGGAAGATATGGCTTACTGCCTGCTTTCCATGTGCAGGAGTACAGGTTGACCGGTCAAATCTATTTTCTACTTTTGTTGACCTATAATGGTTTGTGAAGAATGGTAAATTGTTAGAGGATTAGGTTATTGCAGGGGGGTATTGAAGTAATTTTATAAGAAATGTGATCTTACATGATTTACTACTAGTTTTGCAGGTTCAGGGAAGGTGCTTATTTTGTGCAGTTTATCATTATATTTGTATACAGGTCGTCTTCATCAATGTTACAGTTGAGGAAGTAAGGTGATCAGAAGTTCATTAATGGTTGATTTGTGAAGAACAGCTGGTGAAGTAGGAAATCTGATGTTAGGGAAAAGTCAATTTCACTGTTTTTGTTTCATTTCATTTGACAATTTTTGGTTTGTATTTGTATGAAAGACTGAGAAAGTTCAAATGGAGTTTTCTGTGATATTTCTATTCAATTTTAGACTTGTTTGCCCCCCCTTTTTTTGTCTTAAAGTGTTGGTATTGATACATCTTTCAATGGTTTTTGGGCTATGTGTTTAGGGTTTTTGGTATAGAACATAAATGGAATGTTCCCCAAAATGATTACTTTTGGTCAATTAATGTCACAAAATAATCACAATACATAGATTTTTGAATTTCCTTAGGTTTTTCAACTCACTTATTGTTTTTGTGATTTTCAGAAATGAACAGTTGAACACCACTTTTGAAAATTCAGTTTACATGTTTATTAAATAAAAATTTACAAGTTTATTAATTTTTAATATATGTGGACATGTTTGTTATATGAAATGACTATTGGAACGTCATTTGGTAGGCAAGTCTTTTAATTTTATACAAAATGATTGTAATATATTATAAAAAAGCATAACAATTTATGGATTTTGATGTGTACATATGAAAGGAATGTCTACATATTACAAAGGTTTATTAGCAATTTCTTCAACGATCTTGGAATTCATAAGTACTTCTTGGACGAGGACAACTTGCATGAAAGATTTAGTATTTGATATGTTGAGTTTTTTTAGGGATGGAAGGGGAGAAGGAGAAATGAAGCATAAATAGACCAAATCGTCCTTCACCTGTTTTTCTCCACCACTACTGCAGGGGTATAATTGTCAAATTTCCTTTTCCTATCCTTCCATTGCACTGTAACTCAAGAACACAAATTATTACTTGTTATTTCCTTCCACTTAATAAGCTGTTTATTGGTTTTTCTGACATCTTCAAACTGCATGCAAAATCATAAGTAATGACCTGATGTGATGCTCTATCTAGGACAACATTGTCATTAAAACCCGAGTTTCTGGAGTTTGTGATTTAATTATTTCAGACCTCATGTCAGATCACTGAACTGAAATTGTGAAAGTTGTCTGGTAGTCGTTTTCTTTACCTGATCTTGATTTGATAATAACTTGGTAAATTTGAAAAATGGTTATATGTGCCTTCCATGACATCTATAAAATTTGGCATTTGGAATGTGAATTTCAGATCACAGAAGCAGCACAATTAAGGTGTTTGGGATTGTCTACTTGAAACAACTTATTATTATTTTTAAGCGTTTATTCGTAGTTTATCCAGTGTCAAAAATTTTAATTGAGTTTCAATGGTCATTAAGGTTTTTTCTTAAAAGCTGTGGTTATTCTTTAGATAAAAATATCTTTTTGGCGATTATTACCTTGGTGTTAGCATTGACTCGAGACCACTAACAAGACACTTTTGGCCTTCAATATAGGTGGTAAAAAGTTAAACTTCAACTAACTGAGCGTTACATGAAAAACTTAAATATATGTTTCGAGCTTAAATTTATGTACTCACGTTTGAATATGGCTTGTTTTATTTGGCAACACATACACACGAGCAAATAGCATATATTGTCAAAAACAGATGAATATTCAACCAAACCAAAACCATTAATCACCAAAAAAATGAGTAAGTAGATAGAGCATCATCAACACAACTGCCATATCATCAATCAATCTTCCAAACAGACAGATTAAGGATAGAATTTTTTTTTCCAATACTAACTACTAACAAACCTCTACTCATCATCAATCATATCATGATATTCAAAAACTACTAAACAAACCCTCCTCATCTTCAACAAAATCTTCCATCCTCTCAATCACTCACTCTCTTTCACTTTCCATTCATTTACTTGCTGAGTGCTTCGCCTGGTTATGAGATGAAAGAGCACCCTCTGTCTTAAAGTTCCTGCAAACACACACACACACACACACATTAAAGCACATACTAAACCCTAACATTATAGTATAACATATAATTCATCAACAGAAAAATCAAAATACCTGTTGCACGATTTGCAAGAATGAGCACCCTCAGTAGCCGGACTTTTCTGGTTCGACTTGCTTCCGCCAGCTGGCGTCTTAGCAACCGCCTGCTTTGATGGATGAGGTGTCGCTATATGCACTGCTCCACCCTTCTTCCCTTCTGTCAAACAATATTTCATCACATACATTTATATAAACTTCAACATTATCTATATATAAATAATTATATCATATCTTTTATAGAAAAACTAAAAAACTAACCAGTCTTCTGAGGGGTAGCAGCAATCTTTGTTTTCTTCTTCTCAGTAGGGGTCTTGCTTGCAGATTCATTCTGTCTCTTCTTTCCTGATTGTTCCTGAATTATCATTATCAAAACAAACACACAAAATTAACTACTCATTATATGCCATGTCATCATTCTTAAATATATGTTTATAAAATCTAACCTTTTTGGGTGTCTCTTCCTCCTCATCACTGTCTTCTTCATCATCAGAAGAATCCTCATCATCCTGAAAAACAATGCATCAACATGTTATTTTATATCAAGCTTCTATTCCAGCTTCTATGCTTTGTATGTATATATGTATGTATGTAACCTCATCATCAGAATCTTCAGACATTGCATCAGAGTCATCACTGTCATCATCATCATCATCTGACTCTTTCACATCTTTTTCAGGTTCCACAATCTTCACCTTCTGTTTTCCAGCAGCAGATGACTTCTGTTCTTTCTTAGGAACTACAACTTTTTTCTCCTCTTTCTTTGCCTCTTTCTTTGCCTCTTGCTTTCCTAAAAACACATTAGGTTTCTTTCAATTATGTCCCATTATCAGATATTCAAGAAATTAGAAAGAAAAAAATCCATTAGTCTATTACCATTAGCCACTGGAAGTGGAAGCTCTTCCTCCTCATCATCCTCAGAAGAAAATTCTTCAGAGTCAGTGATCACAGAACACAAAGGAAAAATTGGTCAAGGAATCAACACAAAACTTTAACATTATTAACACAAAAGATTTCAAGTTAGAAAAACAGGTTGATTGAAAAAAGGATATTCATGGTCATCAGCAGGGTTGTCAGCTTTGTATCCATACAAATAGATGCTGCTGTTTTTTGAGTTGTGTGAGACTTGAAAGTCTTTGTCAAAGACCAAGTCAAATAGCTGTTGTGGAATCTTCTCAGGGATAAGGGTTCCTAGAACAAGTTTTTTTCCATCAATAGTCATGTGCATGCAAACAGATTCCTTTGTTTCCTTCTTTGCTTCACCAAGACAAGCCTGAGTAACAAGAAATTTAGTTAGTTGTATAATTAATTATGCAAAATGAGAATATCTCCATTGTAGCAAAGTAATTTATACCTGTGAAAGATGCAAAACCTTGCCTTCACCAATGACTACATCAAATGACTGGCCACTTTTAATCTCAGCACCTGTGTATCAATAGAATAGAATTAATCAAACTTGGAGAAATGAAACACATGTAACATGAAACAATAAAGAAAACTAGAGTTAAGGACAACTGACATTAAGATAACCAAACAATGTTCAGATCATAAATTTAAGAATGCGGATAACAGAGGGTTGATGGATAAACATCAACAATGACAATATTCGAAACATAGCAAGAGCATTATTGCAAAGAGCACTCCTCAATATAATCTTATAAACCAAATTTATTGCCACATTCCGGGGGAGACTGGCTGAGTAAAATGAAGATACATAAAGACATGAACAGAAAAACTATCCAATTCTGATATATGTGACACAAAGGCTACATAAAAACACAGTTATAGCATGCATATTAGTTGCTAACAGTCTTCCAAAGATATAACAAAACTTCAAATCTAGACCAACACTTTTACATCCTCTTTCATAATAAGAATAGGAAATCTCTTCAAATGGACACGGATCAAACAACCAAGTTGAAACACATACTGAAAAAACCACCCATATCACAATGGACCAAACCGTATTCACAAATTGATACATAGCACAGATAATAAAATTGTAAATAACATATGTATACGAAACATCTAATATCGACATGAATACATAAACAAACAAAGCATGTGCACGAAACCACGAAGGGAAACAAACAAAAACGAAGAACATCATCAACGTAAATATAAGTGAAGATTTGCGTTACGGGCATCATTATCAAAACCGAAAGATAGTACAAGTTTTCATCGAAGAAAAAACCCTAACGACATATGTGAAAGGAAAGACACGAACAGAGCGTGTAGACATCGAAATATAAAAGAAGGGAGCAGATTCGTTACCCCAAAACTCCATTGTTGAAGAGGAATAGAAAAATTCGTGAGAGAATAAGCGGCAGAGAGAAGTGTGTGTTTGTGTGAGCAGAGAAAACGTTAGGGTTTGGAGGAAACGAATACGGAGTTATAAAGGGAGAGCGGGACGGAGGTGTGATACGCTATATCGCAGACTACCATTAAACTTTTCAAAAATAGAATCCCTCACTTTTGCCCGGAAGTGTTTTTTTTTTGTTTTCTTAACGTTTGAGATAATATATTTGTTTGTCGTAGAATATTGAAGAAATTATAGGACAACCGTAAAAATTGTGTATTTTTTTAGGACAACCGTAAAAATTGTGTATTTTTTTTAGGGGGTGTTTGGCTAAGCTTATTTCAACTTATAGCTTATAAGTTTTAAGTTAATAAGTTAGGGGAGTTACTTATAGATTTTGATTTATTTCCGGTATTATACATTGATAAGTTATTTCTATCCAAACACTTCTTTTAACTTATTCTGGTGTGGAACTTGTAATAATTTAAAAAGAAGCTTAAATAAGTTTAGCCAAACACCCTCTTAGTTTTGGTCCAAACTCTAATTTTTTTGGATTGGTGGTCATTTTGACCATGTTTGTTCGTGGTTTTCGTCTTTTGAAAATTAAAAAGATTAAAATGCTCTTCTAATATACACTTTTTATCATTTTTCTATTTAATTTCAAGGAAAAAAGAAAACAATTAATTAATTCGGGCTCACATCTTTCTCTCACATATTGCTTCCTGCGATAAAACCACATATATACACATACTAAATTAAAACACATACACACCTCACACACCTTCATCTCTATTTTGTTACCAAAGAATGAGCTAAACATCCTGAAGCATTTGAAGGAGATGCATCACAGCAAATTCGACATCACCCTTGTACACACACTTCCCCCTAACTTCAAATAATTTCACAACTCCCACCCCTCTAATATTCACGTTATTGTTGGAGGTTACCGGAGCAGATTTACTGATTTTTGTATTGCTTCCTATTACGATTATAATCTTTTTAGCATTCTTCTCCTCAAAATCTCATGGTCCCATGGAAGAACCCCTTCTCATCAAGAATCAGAACCATAGCGTCATTTTAAGCAAAGTAGAAGATGGAACAGGTTCAAAAATCGATTCACTTCCTAACACCAAAAGGGAAAAAAAATAACCCTAAAAATCGGTGGTGTGTAAGAGGTGTTTCATCATATATATATATAATATATATATATATTATATATATATATATATGGAAATCTCCAGAAAAGTCCTAAAATTTTACCCTAATTTACGAAAAAGTCCCAAACTAAATTTTGTTTACGAAAAAGCATGAATTACCGATAAAAATGACGATTTGACCCCTTTTTTCCGGTTTACCGGTTTTATTACTTACATGTTTCACTAAAGTCCCATTATTTTACCCTAATTTGCGAATAAGTCCCAAAATAAAATTTACTGCTGATTTGACCATTTGCTCTTTGTAACATACATTTTACCGGTTTCATTACTGACCCGAACACCTAGTCATTAAATGAGATGATGAGATGTATATGTTTAGTTATATAATGTTATGTTTAGCATAAAACTTGATATCCTGATGTATTGTATATCTTTTTGGAACATAAAATGCATCCAACGACGACTACAATAATTACATAAACTAACAACAACTGCGTTATTTTTTACGTTTATAAGAAATATCAAATTGTCTATCTAATCTTATGTAACCCAATATATCCATCTCATCAGACATCAACTCATTTTCTGCCATTTTTTCTTGGAAACAAACATTTTTATTGGTTTCATTGCTGACATAGATACATAGTCATAAATGAGCCGATGAGATGTATATCAAATTTTTCAGTAAATGTGACATTATATAACCAATCGTATTCATCTTGTCTGCTAACTTAATGACAATGTGTCTAAGTCAGCAATGAAACCGATAAAATGTATGTTACATGAAGAAAAAGGCCAAATCATCAGTAAATTTTATTTTGGGACTTATTCGCAGATTAGGGTAAAATAATGGGACGTTAGTGAAACATGTAAGTAATAAAACCGGTAAACCAGAAAAAAGGGGTCAAATCGCCATTTTTACCGGTAATTCATGCTTTTTCGAAAACAAAATTTAGTTTGGGACTTTTTCGTAAATTAGGGTAAAATTTTAGGACTTTTCTAGATATTTCTGTAACACCCATAAAAATTGAGTCAAATTAAAACATTTTCATTCATTCAAAAACCATTAACTTCATACATCTCGTTTTCAAAATAGTTTATTATCAGAGTATCCCCCAGAACCATATCATAAAAATCGTAAAACATGAGGAGCGGTACGATCACGCATTCGCCTTGCCACGATCTCCTGAAGTACCTGAAACATAACACTACAACTGTAAGCCCGAAAGCTTAGTGAGTTACCCCCAAAATACCAACCACACATAACATACTCATATCATATCACAAATGGAACAGCCACGCATATCGGGTCTGCTGTGTGACTGGTCCGCCCGCACCGGGCCTTCAGTTCACCTGGTCCACCCTCCGAGTCTAGCCATGTACATCGAGTCTACAGTGTGATTGGTCCGCCCGCACCGGGCCTTCAATCCACCTGGTCTACTCTCTGAGTCTACAGTATGACTGGTCCACCCACACCGGGCCTTTAGTCGGCCTGGTCCACTCTCCGAGCCTCGGCACGTCTGGTCCGCCCTCTCGGGGCCTTCAGCCTATCCGGACCGCTCGCTGGGGAATGTCCGGTCTGCCCTGGGTATGTTGGCCTACAGCACTAAGCAGGACCCGCCTCAACCCAACCCCCGTCAAACAACCATGTGCACATAAAACAAATAATCACATAACAATCCTCAACCAGACAACAGTCTAACAGATCACATAGCATATCAACATCCTAACCAGGATTCCGACCTAACCGGTCACTAGCATAACATTACCCTATATCCCGGGTACCGACCTTAACCAGGTCACTAACATAACACTATCCTAAATACCAGGATGCAGATCTAGCAAAACAATCACATAACAATCAATACCCGGATTTCCATCCGTTAAAGGGCCGGCCTTGGTGCCGTAGACCCTGTCGATATAGTGAGGATAACTCACCTTGCGGCTGCCGAAATCCTGCAAATCTCTGACTACTGACTCGCCGGGAATCCCAACTATCACATGCAAATCATCACATTAGAATCCATCATGACTTTCTAGGCCAAGGGCCCACAACACTCATTAAGTCCATCATCCTCTTATTGGGCCAAGACCCAAAACCAAATTCTCATGCAAAGCCCAATATTGGCCCAATTTACTAAATTGGGCCCACCTCACCAAATGGGCCTAGATCCAAGGTCCATAATAATTATTGGGTCTAAATCATTCCATCCATAATGTTCGGTCATGGCCCAAGCCCCACTAGCCCATAAACAGCCCAATCACTTAAGGCCCAAAATCAAAAACCCAACAGAGGGCATACGCTGGGCGTACTCCTCTGGTACGCGGGGCGTACGCTCGTCTGTACCCAAAAATCTTTCCAAGTGCTTAATGGCTTTAAGCACTTAAGCCCATATGCTAGATCCAGTGACAAAAAGGGCCTAGGACTCATAAAGTCTCAATCTTTATCCTTTTGGACGTCCATAAAGCTCTTAACTCAAGGTTTCAACCCATTAAGACCTTCCTACTTCTTATATGGGACAACCAAAGCCATTGGGACCTCATTTTTCCTTACTAAAGACCTCTCCAATGGTCTGAAAGGACAACTCATCTTAACCAAAACACATCATACATCAAGATGGGGGTTTTTGGGACAAGAATGGTGTCAAAACTTCACCATACATAGATCTACACAAAATAGATGTCAAGCAAGAATCTTTATACCTTCAAGTGGTTGCAAAGGGTGATGCTATCACGGATCTACAAGCTCCAGCCACGAAGTTTCCTTCTTGCCAACCTCTTCTTTCTTCTTCTAAGCTTTCCTTTGCCAAACTAAGCTCCACAAGGTCAAATATCCACAACAATGGAAGAAGAACGGCTACTTAGGGTTTCTGAGAGTAAGAGGGCAGATATGGAGGCTAGGGTTGGAACCATAATGTTCCTTATATAGTGGCTGGCCCTAAAATTAGGGTTTTAAGACTCTGAGCGTACGCTGGGCGTAACTCTGGTACGTTGGGCGTACGCGTCCTTTCACCCGCGGTCATTCACCCTATTACGCTGGGCGTACCCACGCGTGTCCCAAAGGCATGCATGACCTTCCTCGTCAACTTTTCCCATTAAGGGCTATAAATGTCAATATCTTCAAAGTGTCATAACTCCTTATTCTAAGCCCGTTCCCGACGAACTTTATATCCACGCGAAGGTGGCGAGAAGCCCTACGCTTCTATCAACATACCCCGGTCCGAAACCTTCCCGAATGAAACTTATCGCCTATAAAAGACCAAAACGCCCTTACTCTTGATCTCAGAAATTCATAAATAAGTACTTTTCAAACGGGGCGTTACAATTTCCCATATATATATATATATATATATATATATATATATATAATATATATAATATATATATATATATATATATATATAGAGAGAGAGAGAGAGAGAGAGAGAAAGAGAAAGAGGTGTAACGCCCCATATTAAGACCCAAAACATTTTCATTTTTAAGTTTATAAAACAGTAAACCATATCGTTGTCATAAAACCAAGGTAATCAAATTTTATCAATACATCGTAATAATCAGAGTGAATCACAAAATACGGAATTGGGTGGTGTGTGCTCTGCAATCATCCTGGGATCTTCCCTTTGAAAACAGAAGTACCTGAAACATAAATTGAAAACCATAAGCACAAAGCTTATTGAGTTTCCCAAAATACCACATATCATACATACATTTGTTGTGGGCTACCCCCGTGGTCTTTTCCCTGAAATGTCATGGGTTACCTGTTGGGTTTTAGTTCAAAAATAGTTTCATAAACTTGAAAAATATGGCAACGGAAGACTTTAATTTTTTTTAAATAACATAAACATTTTATATCCACCAAGGATCTTCTTGCAAGTTATAGAAAGATTAAAACATCAACCAAATAAGAGGTGAAGAAATAACAACCTTTGTAGTCCTTTGGGTCCTCTCGGGAGGCTTGGAAGTTGATGAAGAATGTGGAACTTTTGAGACACCAACAATGACTCAACTTGATGTAG